CAAGAAGAGGGAGCCACAGACAAGCCTCTGTGGTAGAGAGCCACTGCCCTTAACCACTTACCTGCATCTCTTGCCTCTTCTTGGCCTGGGCTTAAACTATAGCCCACTGACTTACTGGTTGTCCTGAACCATTTGTCCCTCTAATAAACAAGAGCTTAAAAAAATTCCTCTCCCTGCACACCATCACCTATTCTCTTCCCTTCTAATTCTTCCACTTCCCATAGCTTCCCCCCACCCCCGCTTTTTATTGCTAAGCACAGAATCATCCGAATGTCAACAGCCAGTTGAAAGAACATACCTTAGGCCACTGGAGGATCAATGCTCTGGCGATCGATCTTCCAGGGTTCAATTTAGTGAGTCTAGTAAAGACCTGCTAAATCAAATGCTGAGAACATCCCCGTTGGTACTCCTGGCTGTTGCAAGGAGCAAGGGAAGTCAACAGGAGCATTTCTCCCGTCAATCTCCCACTGTGAGGCTGCCCCAGAAAGTCGTTGCAAGGTACGTCAACTCCAACTATGCAATTCATGTAGCTGGAGTTGTATCTTGTATCGATTTTCCCTGCCAGTGGAGACCTGGCTTAGATGTACCATACTCCAAGCAGCCTTCTTGCTTTCAACCTCATGAAAAGGAAACAGTCCATATTTTTTGGAGAATCATATGATTTCAATGCAAAGATTAATAGATGGAGTACAAACAATTCTCAACGTGACTCACCGGGAAGTCTGTTCATGTTGACTCCTTGGGCTGAGAGTCCTATTCCCATGTACCTTCAAACAAACAGAATTCTGTTAGTTCAACACAGAAGGGTCAAGTCATGAGATTCTCCCCTCCAGAAATACAGGAAACCATTTTAAATTAGACCGCAGCATTTCACTGGAGACTCCCCTGAGCCTTTTGATGAGTTTCTGGAATCAAAGAGAAAATGCCTTAATCAGCCCTGGGAACTCATGCCTCTCTGCTCTCCAACAGCAGCTACATTCCTGCACCTCCTAATTGGTATGAAAATGAGAACCTTGGAGTAGTCACAGCTGCTAGCCCCTGTGTTTTCAGGCGTCAGGAGAAGGTGATGCCTTACAAACAGCTGACAAGACAGCACCCGAGATTTAAGGATCAGATCATTCGAAGCAACTGAAAACACTGGCTGCTGATCCTTATCCAATGACATCCAATTCCAAATCTCTCTCATCATTGAGATATCTGTGCTGTCTAAGTTAGGGACGTGAATGGTTAACCAGTTAACTGGTGAGCCTCACCAGCCTGGCTTGAATCGGTTAACCAATTCAATGCAATGTTTAACTGGTTAACCAATTAAGCAGGATTTTACATCCCTAATCTAAGTGCATGGAGGACAGGATTATCACTGGCTATTAGCCAAAATGGCCCGGGTTGCAAGCCCATGTTCTGTGTGCCCCTTAGTCTCAGACTGTCAGATGCTGAGACTGGACCATGGGGTGGATCACTGTTTGCCCTGTTCTGTTCATTTCCTCTGAAGCAGCTGGCATTAGCCACTGTCAGAAGACAGGACATTGGGCTAGATGGACCATTGGGCTTACTCTGTCCAGCCATCGTTATGAACCGAAACAGCGGCACCATGTAAAGCCCGTCAGTGCATTAAGATAGCCAGATGTATATTATTGTATTGGAAGCATCACAGGGGCTAGCAAGGACTGCAGTGAGCTATCGGATACCTCCACCTGGAAGTGACCAAGGTGGGAACCCCCTTATGCACCTTAAGTTTTAACTGAGCGGTATCTGAACTCCAATGATTCTGTTTGTTCATCCCTGCCCAGGAGCTGAACGGAGAAGCACGATGCCTTGGCAAGGACTCTCCTGACAACAGACACAACTTGCAACCTGCTGCTCTCAATTTGTACGTCCCTTTGGTTTTCTGACATCTAGACAGCTGCAACAGGCTACCTGTGAGAAGCCAATAATTGTGGCGATAGCTACCTTCTGCATGACGGAGGCCGAAAAGAGTAAGCAACCCTTCTAGTCCGTTCCCCTGCCGCTGCAGAATTGTTCTCCACAGTCTACCGGGAGGTTCAGCATTGGGCATTTTAACTTACTCAGTGTAACGACTGTACAGCAAGAGAGCTCTGGACAGGTCCGTTCACATGAACAAACACTTTCTAGTATTGTATTACACAGCTGCCTGGCCACTAGAAAGCTTCCTGTCAAAACTAGAAATGCCTGCATAATGAAAGCTGTGCACAACAAGCCACCTGTAAGACCGCTTGTGTACACTGAGTGTCTACAGGCATGGCTCTGTGTAGCTCCCAGTGACTGTGCTTTGCCAGCGCTGGCCCAATGGGAGCTGCGGTAAGTGGTGTCGGCTCATCGGTTAACGTTCACGGTTACATGCAGGCTCCCGGGACACGGGAAGAGCCGCCTCCCCCCGGAGCAGTGGGGGAGGGGAGATAGGTGGGAGCCAATATGCGCGGGAAGCCGGCTTAAAAGCAGGGTCCCCGCAGGCACTGGCTCCCAGGGAGCCACCTGCCACCCCAAGTGTAACCGCTAATATTTTCACCGGTTAAACAGTTATTTGATTACACCCACTTTAACATCCCTAACACCTTACTGACCTAAAGTGGGTCGTGCAGACCTAAGGCTCTGCAATGTTTGCCATCAATGCATCCGTGTATGCTGAAGCGCATCCTCCTCCATGGGAAGGACTTCTTCCCCCTTTTAAAGCCATTGCTTATGATGTTCCCTAGCAACGAAAGGTACATGCATTAACTAGCCCAGATGGACTCTGGCTTTTTCCATTAGACACCCAGGCCTTCAAGTAGGAGAACCTCAGAAATGTAAGCCTATTAAACATCTTACTATTGCCCCAAATATAAAAGCTCCCTAACATGTCCCTGGTAAGCAATTATATTCTGTTCCCAGATCTCCATGCATATGTATATCCACAATTACATCATTCGGGAAGAGGTTGCAAACATACAGTATATATATGTAACTCTGTTTAGAATTGGTTTTAATTTGCTCATGCACTTAAACCTCCTTGCAGCGTAATTTAGTATTTCAACACAGTATATGACTCCATGCATACCCATTTTTACATATGAAATTGCACATGCATTTCCATGGTTTTGATTTACTCTCCCCTCTCTCCTTCCCTGAAATTCAAGTTTTAAAAAGCCAGGAAAAGGAAGGCCTGGAGGGTTCCATTCTAACATGAACACCAAAGTCTTGTACACAAGGGAAGGTAAGCTGAATTAACTAGAGATCTGAATGCAAAAGTGCATTTGTTAAACACAAATTAAATTCCTGTGTGGATATTTTCATTCAGAAGTGAAATGGCCTTAATTTGCTGTAATTTAATTCAACTCCAAAATGAAAGGTACTTTTAAATTCAGATGTAGTCAATTCAACTTCTCTTCCCAGGAAAGTGCCGATGTTTAATAAACAAAAGTGACTAGTAGTAAGTTACAGCAAAGCAACAGAACACACCAACTAAAGGGTATCAGAGGGGTAGCCATGTTAGTCTGGATCTGCAAAAGCGACAAGGAGTCCTGTGACACCTTATAGACTAACAGATGTATTGGAGCATAAGCGTTTGTGGGCAAGGACATGCATCTGACGAAGTGGGTCTTTACCCACAAAAGCTTATGCTCCAATACATCTGTTAGTCTATAAGGTGCCACAGGACTCCTTGTCGCAACTAAAGAGTGAGAATCAAAAGGTCAGAGAAAAAAAAAATCAGATCCTTTTACAGAAACAATCCCTTTAAACAGAACTGCTGAAAAGCAACCATGCCTGCAGGCTCCTGGGAAGTTGCTAGGAAGGCCACAGAACAAATGTAGTCATCTGACTAACACCAGGTCTACACTGGTGGAGAAAAATCGATGCAAAATACACAACTCCAGATACATAATTACGTAGCTGGAGTCAGTGTACCTTGTATCAATTTTCTGGGGTGGCCCCACGGTGGGAGATCCACAGGAGAAACTCTCTCGTCGACCTCCCTTACTTCTTGCAACAGCAAGGAGTACTGCAGCCAACATGGGCACTCTCAGCATTCAATTTAGTGAGTCTTTACTAGACCTGCTAAATCGCACTCCAGAGCATCGATCCTCCAAGTAAGTGGAGACGTGGCCTAAGAGCTTTAGGCCAAGGAAAACAAGGTGCCGCCCACACCACTTTTGCTAGCCCATATCCCCAGTGCCACTGTCTTGAAGTGATTCTGAATTCAACAAACAGTACTACAGAACAGTGACACTGCAACTCAAGAGAATTTTTATCTGAGTGATGCATTTGGATTTTAGTCACAATTTAAGCATGCTTAGACCAAACAGCAGCTGATCACTAAGGGATCTAAAGAAATAACCTCCTGTGTTACGTACATAAATGCATACGGTGAGACAGACAGTCCCTTCTGTTGGGAAAACTGAGGACTCAGGCTTACTTACAAGCTGAGAGGTTTCAACCCTCAAGGAAATTGATTGGTTAAGCACTGATGACATGGTCAGTGCTGCGTAATATGTGAATGAACGACTCTCAGCCTCGAAGCACTTCCAGTATCAACTTCTTCTGGTAGGGTATTGGCCCATTTTTCATCACACCATCACCAAACGATGATCATTTTTGGAGAGTGAATTTGCACATACTACTGACTGATTTAGCTTGCGATAGAAGCAGCTAATGGAAAGGTCTGTGCCAATTCTTTTATTCCAAATCCACAGCAGTGCTGGCTCTCTCAGCAGGGCTGCTCAGAGGAGTTGGCAGGCTTCCCAATAGGTTAACGCAGTTTTCCCCAAAGAAAAAAGAGCAATACAAATACGCAGCCCTTTTAATAAAATGACAATGGTTACCAGAATTAGGCCTCTGCACTTTGCCATTCCAAACTGAATAGACGTGGACAGCCAATATAGGAGGTTTCTGAAGGCACTGCTGAGAGAGTAAATCAGGGCAAATTGCTTAGAGATGGGGCTACTTATACCCCAAAATTGAGGGCCCTCCAATATAAGGCACCAACCACTCACTTGGGGTATGTCTAGACTACATGCCTCTGCCAACAGGCATGTAAAATAGGCTACCCGACATAGTCAGTGAAGCGGGGATTTAAATATCCCCGGCTTCGTTAAAATAAAAACGGCCTCCACGCTGTGCCAGCTCAGCTGATTGTCGGCACAGCACGGCAGTAAAGACGCAGATCGGTTGACAGGAGAAGCCTTTGTCGACCGCTCCTGTAAACCTCGTTTCACGAGGCATAAGGGAGCAGTCGACAAAGGCTTCCTCTGTCGACTGATCCGCGTCTCGACTGCCAGGCTGTGCCGACAATCAGCTGAGCCAGCACAGCATGGAGGCCATTTTTATTTTAATGAAGCCGGGGATATTTAAATCCCCGCTTCACTGACTATGTCGGGTAGCCTATTTTACATGCCTGTCGGCAGAGGCATGTAGTCTAAACATACCCATAGAGCAATTCTATTCGCCACGCTGGCTAGCAAGAAATCATACAAGCAATCCCCTGAGACACTCCAGTTCTCCTGTGCCACCACCAGAACCGCTCCTTATACAGACGAGAGGTTATGAAACCCAATCCCACCAAATCCAAACAGGTTCCTCCGATCCCAGAGAACCAGCCACATACCCAGGTCAATTTATAACTCCGATCTTACCCAGAAAGGCACACTATACACCAATCCTTTAGAATCTAAAATGTAAAGGTTCATTAATTTAGATTAGACAGAAGGACGGAGACGGACAGACAGACAAAATTGTTGCAGAGTTCTTGGGGCAGGCTTGTAGCAGAGGTGGA